TGGTGGTACCTTCCTGAAGCTTATCCAGAACTCTGGGCAACACGAAGCCTGCTGGAAGCTGGGTGTGCTCAGAGGCTGCTAAAGTGGGTGGCTGAGTGTAACTTCTTGGTCCTGGCAATTCCATCTATCTATTTTCTGGGTTTGTGGGAAAGGTGTGTGTGCTGTGAAGCAGGGAGACCAACTTTGCACTCCTTGTCATCTCTCTGCAGTGCTCTGGGAGCTCTTGTCACCCTCCTGCTCTGGGGACAGCTTTTGGCTGTGGACCCTAACAATGAAGTCACGGAAATTGCAGGTAGGTCTCTGGGCCTGAGCAGGAGCTGTGCATCGCTAGTTCTGCTGTGGTCCACTCAGCCCCCATCTGACCTGCACTGTCCTTTGTGGAAGACCCAGTTCCCCCTTGTCACCGGTTGTCCCCTGGCAATGAGGAGAGACTGCCCTTCCCTTGGTTTCCATTTGCGGGCAGGGAGGCTGATGTGTAGAGTGGCTTCCTCTCAGCTGACTTTTTACAGGTTTTTGGGAACAACTTCTGGAGATTAGCTTCCTTTTCTGGTGTCCTTTGTTTTGCAGATGACAGCTGTCCAAAGCCCCCTGAGATTGCAAATGGCTATGTGGAGCACCTGGTTCGCTATCAGTGTAAGACGTACTACAGGCTGCGCACTGAGGGGGATGGTAAGACCCAGAAGTCTCTGCCCTGCACACACTCACCCTGACATTTCCATGATGCATGGGGCTGGGCTGGCCAGCAGTTCGCACAGACTCCTTGGAGCCAGGAGATCGAGCCTCTAATTAAGGTTCCGTCATCAGTAAAGTGATCCTTTAAGCAAACTTACTTCTCAGTCTTCTGCCTGTCTCACGGTAACAGCTCCATCCACAAAAGCAGGGTGACAGTAGGTGACACTCCCAGAGCAAGCACTGTGTTCCTGGCACTTCCTGAGTGTCTGTTTGAAGCTCCCTTCTCGTGGCACTCCTTGGAGGAGATACTGCTATTATGAGGAAACTGAGGCACAGAGAGCTTGAGGACCTCGCCCAAGTTCACACAGCCTGCGAGTCCCGATCCTGACCTGTCTTGTCAAGACTTCCCCAACCACAGTCTGTCCAGCACTTGACTGGAAGCGCAGTGCTCTGCCCATTCCTTCTCACCTACCCTGTGTTTCTCTTCTTCCCACCTCCTCCTCCTCCTCCTCTTTAAAATACCTTCTCATGCCGCACCAGGTCCAGATTTGATTCCTCTCCTTCCTTCCTCTTGTTTCAGGAATGTATGCCTTAAACAGTGAGAAGCAGTGGGTGAACAAGGCCACTGGAGAGAAACTTCCAGAATGTGAAGCAGGTGGGTACCAAGGGTTAGTGCATGGGGAGCCACCTCGGTTAACAGGTCAGAGACACTTCACTCCTCGTGGCTTCCCCTGAGCAGACAAGAGCCAAGATGAGGGGTAGGGAGAACTCAGCCGTGGGGCTGGTCTGGTCAGCAAGGGAATGACTCTCAGGGGAGCTCACAAAGCAGCTTGTCCATTTGGGCCTGAGGGAACTGGCTCAATTCACTATCCACACAGCCTCATCAGGAGACCTAAAGATATACAGACAGCTTAGCTAGAGAGCCAGGGTCAAGGGTAAAGAAGCTCTAGGGAGACTGTGTCAAGGAAGTGAGGAAAGCAGGACTCAGAGGCAGGAGGCTGGGGATGGGTGGGACTTGTTTTTGTCAGGAAGAGCTGTCGCTCTCTGTTTTCCCTCTGGGAATAGAGGATCTGCCCACCTTCTGCTGCCAGAGTATGAACCACCAAGCTGCCCTGGGTTACTTGCTGTATCTGTAGAATCTGTGTCCTGCCAACACTGCTACAGCCTTCTTTAGTCAGAGAGAAGGAATCACACAGCTCCCAGCTCAACCAGTGAATTCTGGGAGGAGTGGAAATTCCTGTGGTGATAAAATGTTTAACCACTCTGCTAGGCTTTACAATCTTGGTGTCACTTCTTTACTGGGTTAGAAAATGGAACTCTGCTTTGTGATGTGAATGACTAAAAGACGTTATTTTACACTGTAATTACTGGAAATGAGTGGGGGCAAGGACAAAGCATATGAGTATTCCTAGCTTTGAAACAAGTGAAGAAAGAGTGCAGATGGCAGCAACACCCATTCCTCTCCCCACATTCTGGGAGGGGAGGCGCATTCGTATTTCTGCTTACGGCTGTCCTGCTCTCCTTGGCAGTATGTGGAAAGCCGAAGAATCCAGTGGATCAGGTGCAGCGCATCATTGGTGGCTCCCTGGACGCCAAAGGCAGCTTTCCCTGGCAGGCTAAGATGATCTCCCGTCACAACCTCACCACGGGGGCCACACTGATCAGTGAACAGTGGCTTTTGACCACAGCCAAAAATCTCTTCCTGAATCACACAGAGAATGCTACAGCAGAGGAGATTGCCCCTACCTTGAAACTCTTCGTGGGAAAAAGGCAGCCAGTGGAGATTGAGAAGGTGGTTTTCCACCCAAACTATTCCACAGTAGACATTGGGCTCATCAAACTCAAACAGAAGGTGTCCGTCCATGAGAGGGTGATGCCTATTTGCCTGCCTTCGAAGGATTATGCGGAGGTGGGGCGTGTGGGTTACGTGTCTGGCTGGGGGCGCAATGTCAACTTTAGGTTTACTGAGCATCTCAAGTATGTCACGCTGCCTGTTGCTAACCAGAGCAAATGTGTGGAGCACTACGAGGGCAGCACATCGCCCGAGGAGAAGACCCAGAAGAGCCCTGTAGGGGTGCAGCCCACCCTGAATGAACACACCTTCTGTGCCGGCATGTCCAGGTATCAGGAGGACACCTGCTATGGCGATGCTGGCGGCGCCTTTGCCGTTCACGACCTGGAGCAGGACACCTGGTACGCGGCTGGGATCCTGAGCTTTGACAAGAGTTGCACGGTAGCTGAGTATGGTGTGTACGTGAAGGTGGCCTCCATCCTGGACTGGGTTCAGACAACCATGGCCAACAACTAATGCAAGCCTGGTAGCAAGATTTCACCTTGGGAGAGGGAAGAGAGGATGGGGTAAGATCAGTTCTGAAGCTGATGGGCATCAGCCCAGTACTGCTGTGTCAATCAATAAAGAGCTTGTTTTAGACTCATTTCTGTGCTGTTTTTAGTGTGGGGCCTTTTTATTCTCTCATTTATGGTACTGTGCAGCCAAGTGGCACAGTCTACTAGGAATATGGCAGGTGGCTCTCCCAGCCACTGGAAATCCCTGAGGTGATAAACTGTCCCACGCTGGGCAATCATGCTCATTGACTGTGTGCCTACTGAATGCCAGGTCTCACAGCTCGCAGTTACACATTTAGAGACAAGGAAATGCAAGGGGAGTGAAGTGCTTCGTGTAATGTTATGTAGCTATTTAATAGGGAAGCTGAACTTGAACCCAGGCCTGTCTGAATGCAAACTCAGGGCTCGTTTTACTCCATCCTCTTGCCTCTGAAGAGAATTAGCAGGAAGGGTGCAGGACTGGAGGGGAAGATGCCAGCTTAAGGGTGAAAACAAGTTTGGACAAAGGCAGTACTTTCACTGACTGTGCTCCCACCTACCAGTGTCTCAGAAAATAAAGAAGTATAAAGGAAGGATATCTGGACTTGCTGGGTTCACATCAGCCCAGTCCACAGATGTGCTGAATGCTTTAAGCTCCTTGGCCATGATCATTTCCCTGGACTCTTCCCACGAGGGGCTTAAACTAGATTTTTTTTTTTTCTGGTACAGGGGATCGAACTCAGGACTTTGTGCTTGCCAGGCAGGTGCAGTGACACTGAGCTACATACCAGCCCTTACTAGATTATCTTTAAGAGTCCCTACCAGTCACAAGGCTCTGGGATGTTTTTCATAGAGTTTGGAGTCTCCTCCTCAGCAGGAGTCAAAAACGAGTTGTGTGATCTTCTACTGCCCAGAAGTCAGGGTCCTGTACTCAGGTCTTCCAGGAGAAGGGTGAGCAGGAAGCTCTCCTCTCTGGATGCTTTCTGCTCCAATCCTACAGTGACCCTTTCCTAATTTACTGTTTCATCATGCCAACACATGGCCTTTCCTTCTCATTGTGTAAAAGGCCACCGATGTCACCATGTTCTCACTAGAGTCTGCTTTTCACTGTGGCGCTCTCTTCACATGTGCTTTCCAGACCCACAACATTCCAACCAGTCAGAGTTAGCACACCAAGGGAGACAGAGACCTATGATCCAGAACCTGTGCAGGAAGCTATAGCCAGAAGCTGAAAAATAACACAGACACATACAAAAAGCCTCTCAGAATGCAATGAGTCACACCCTTTTTTCTTTTGTCAGTATCTTTCTGGCAGAAGAAACCACCCCCAGTTTTGAAGAGTTATGATTGTATTAAGTGGTTCTTGGCTATCGCCAGGAAGGAAGTGATGATAAAAGAAAATCTCTGGTATATTCTCATTTATCTTCTGTGCCTCTCTCCTCCTATGTTATTCTCCAAGATCTCCCTGCTCCAGGGACCTCTGCTGACCCTCCCTGTCTGCCCAAGGACTTCCTGCTCCCCCTAAGACTCGAGTGGCACCTCCTTTCAGAAGCCTTTATCCCTGTGCAGAAGTCACCTGTATGTAGCACCTAGCATCTCATGGGGTATACAGGAAATATTCAACAAATTACTTGTGGAACAGAAAGCAACTAAGATCAGTTCTAAAGCATAAATCAGGACTTCAGAGAAAGATATGAGAATTTTATGGATGCAAGTTCTCAATTTTTATTGGTAACTGAACACTTACTGCATACCAAATATTGTTTAGGCTGGAGAACAAAAAACTTGATAGGCAAAGAAGATATTTTATTCTTTCATAGGAGTCTGGAGGCAGGCAGGTCTGGAGTTCACTTAGGAGTTCAATAACATCATCAGGGGGTCATAAAAAATTATTTTTTAATGGTACTGGGGATTGAACCAGGGCTTTGCATATGAACTCTGCCACTGAGCTATGCCTCCTGCCCATCTTAAACATTTTGAGACAGGGTCTGCTAAATTACCCAGGCTGGCATCCAACTTGTGATCCTCCTGTCTTAACCACCCAAGTTGATGGGATTACAGGCATGTACGACCATACTTGATGATCAGACTCCTTTAATTATTCTTGTCAGTATATTGATTTTTCATCTGAATGCTGGCTGCCTCATGGGCTCAAATGAAAAGAAGAGAAAGAAAACAGAGGTAGTTTTATTTTATGCCTGGAATGCCTCTCCTTTTATTGACAAAGGACACAGAAAGCCCCTAGCAGCCTTTCTCCTGTGCCACATCAGCCAGACCCAACTCTCATGGTCACCACTCCCTGCAGGGCAATCCTGAGAAGCACCCAGCAAAGGGGTTGGACTTGCAGTCAGTGCTTGCAGTCAGAAGCCCAGAAGAGAACTGGGCTTCTGTTGGCAAAGAAGTCAATGGCAGCCAAGCATGTCCCAAGCTGCCTGGCCCACTCCCTGAAGCTCAGTGTCCATCTTCGTGTTCTGGGACTTCAGTACCAACAGCCACTGCAAGGTGTGAGAGAAGCAGTGACTTGCCCAAGGCTTTCCCAGGAGGACTGCGGGAGAGCGACAATTCTTCATAAAGTCATTAAAACTTGCAAATCCCATAAAGCTATTTTTCCCCCCAGACAACGCAGTCCTGTCTTTGCAGTCCTGAGTCCTTGAAACACAATTTTCTTCCTCAGAAATAAGTGGCAACTCTGACTTCCAGGAGAGATCAGATTCTTATTAAGTGTAGTTAAGACTTTGTTCCTGGGGGGGTGGGCTCCAGATAAACGGCACGCTGGATTCAGGTACCGTTTCAACAGGCGCTTTTCTTTCTCTTCCTGTCTGGCAACAGGAGACGTGCTAAATGTCTTGATAGAGAAGGTCATATTTGGGAATATTCTTGGGATCAATAGGACTTTGGACGATAAGTTTTCCCCTCATTGCACCTCGATAGATTACTTCGATCAAATCTATGAAATCTTGTTTAGTTTTGAAACTGCCCACAAACTTAGTGTGATCTGGAGACCTAGACAGCATAAAAGAGAAATAACTGCTCTCAGGACTTTTAACAATTGCTTGCTGAAGACTTGCTGGATAAACAAAATGAATAGTGGCTTCCTTTCTTCTTGGTGGGAGTCAGATGTGTAGCCTGACATTTCATTTTTCACACTTGGTAGACGATACATGACTGAAAGCTGTGCTGTGGGCCCCTGACAGGGAAGCTCTGGCATGTGAAATATTCTGCCTCAAAACCTATTTCAATCACTTCGAAAATAGTTACTAAATAGAATTCACTAAGCATGGGAGCAGGCATTAGCTTCCTTGGTGTTTCTGTGCAGAACCCATCAATTAGTCCCAGACTCCCAACTTCTTGTCAGTTATACCTTCGAGTTGTTTGAATTATTGTATCGAATTATTTTTAAAAAATACTTTAAGCACTAGGTACACTTATTGTTTTTTTTTTTTTTTTTGGTACCGGGGATTGAACTCGGGTCCTTGTGCTTGCAAGGCAGGCTGCCGAACCACTGAGCTAAATCCCCGGCCCTAGGTACACTTATTGTAGAAATTTTTTAGACAAAAACAAAATCACCAATGAGGCCAGAAGTCAGTCACCTTTTGGCGTGTATCCTTCCAATATTATGTGTATGTCTGTGCACGTGAGAACTGTATTTCTTTTTTCATGACAATGGGAACCATATCACAAGCTATTTAGTGATATGTTTTCAGCTAATGATTATTTCTTTCAAAGTCATTGTATGAAATTCTTGAAAAAATTACTGGGTTAAAATGCTTAAACACTTTGACAGTATTTGATATACAGTGTCATAAAATACCCTCTAAAAAGGTTGTATCAAACTAATACATCAAGTGTGAGCTAAGAAAATAAATAGCTTTAAAGCATTTAAAAATAGGAAGTATTTAACTCTCTCTCTCTCTCTTTCTCTTCTATTTTGGTACTGGGGATCGAACTTGGGTCCTTGTGCTTGTGAGGCAGGCAATGGAACCACTGAGCTAAATCCACAGGCCAGTATTTAACTCTCTTTCAAACAGATAATGACAAAACATGGTCGAGGTATATGTACCTTACCAGAAAAAAAAGTGATGAGAATATAGATATTGTTAAAATTATTTAGCATGGGGACACTAATCAGGTATAGTGGAAAGTGTTAAAGAATAATTTATATTGATAATTTTTTTTTTTGGTACCAGGGAATGAAACTCAGGACCTTGCGATTGCAAGGCAGGCACAAGCATGGTGCCACATTGCTACTCATTTTGGCAGGCTTTGTTGAAGAATGACTTAAAAATTCTCTAAGTGGAAAAAGACATTTAGCAAGAGAGAAATGTGTCTTTATTTGCTGGAGGAAGGTTTCTTTTATAAATGCCTTATTAGTCCTAAAAGTTTAAGAATAACTGCATATATTATTTTAAATAAAATTCTTGAAGAGTTTTTTACCTTCTGTACTTAGCTAACAGACCTACTCTATATTTTCTAGATTTAAGGATGGTTTATGTTTTCACAACTATAACTATTCTTTCATAATTAGGTCCGAAATTAAAATTTGCCAATCATATGAAATGCTCTCAATTTGTACCATTTTCACATAAAAGATTCAAGAGTGCATCAACCCAGAAAACAGCGTGGTACAAACGATCACAGAGCTAACATCTCATGTAAATGGGTGCGCTACTGAAGCTTCTTTGATCAAAGGAACTTTTAAGATTGGATTGGCTTCAAAGTTAAGCTAACTTACCCATAATCCACTTTCATATGCTGCCCATTGAAGAAAAATACAGTAGATGGAATGTAACTGATGTCAAAATACTGTGTGTAAACTGGAGTGTGGTCCACGTCTACCAGGTATATGGCAGCCATTTTACTCAAGTCAGGAGAGGTCTTAGAAAGCTGCAAACGACAAGAGGGATGGAGGTCACAATAGGAGAAGTAGCAAAGAACAAAACAAAAGAACCACAGGAAACCAGTAGGAGAAATAGCTAAGCTTTGTTTTGTAAAACATTTCACTGTAACAGAATATTTTGCTTGAGGAAATTCCTGGGCCAAGAATCTAGCTGTTTGAGTTCCACATCAGACAGTGCAGCCTTGGTGTTCAGAGGCTGAGTTACTGCACTGTTGACAGGGTTATTAGAAGGCACTGGGAAAATATATTTCTTCTTTTAATTTTCTGTCCATGTTTGACTATTTCTTTTTTTACAGTACTAAGGATTGAACTCAGGGTCTCTGCACTGAATATACCCAAACCACTTTGTTTTTTTATTTTATATTTTGAGACAGGTTCTCACTAAGCTACTAAGTTGTCCAGGGGAGTTTTGAATTTGTGATTCTGCTGCCTCACCTTCCTAGAGTGCTGGGATTATCAACAGGCACCACTATGCCTGTCTCATGTTTGATTATTTTACAAAAGTCCTCTCTACTGTACTCCCTTACTGTGGGTGGGGGTATAGCTCAGTGGTAGGGTTCTTGCCTAGCATGCATGGAACCCTGGGTTTGATCCTCAGCCCTATAAAAACAAAAGCGAAAATCCAATATTTGGACTTAAAAAAAAACACCGCAGAAATAAGTTGTAAGGGCTTTACATGTGTTAATCTACTTAATACTTACCACATTCCTTTGAGGTATGGATTGGAGTCCCCATTTTGTAGATGAAGAAACCGAGGCACAAGGTAAGCTAACTTATCCTGGGTCAAACAGCTCCTAAGCAGTTGGGTGGGGATTTGAACTTTGGCAGCCTGGCTTCAGAATTTATGCACCCTCTTCACCCCAACTTCCTCCTCCCACCCCGTCTCCGTCTCTCTTCCTTCATGACTTTACTTCTCCAATGTTTGGCATGGCACCCACATATGCTAGCAAGCACTCTACCAATAAGCTATACTCCCAGCTCAGAGCCTACATTCTTGATTTCTGATATTTCTTACTCCCCACAGCTCAGTGTGTAATTTTTTGGTCCTTTAATGCCCAGGTTAAACCATCACACATTCTTTTTTGTTTTTTTTTTTGAGACAGGGTCTCACTATGTAGTTCAGACTGCCCTGGAACTCACTATGTAGCTCAGGCTGGTCTTGAACTCACAGCGATTCTCCTGCCTCAGCCTCCCGAGTGCTCTGGGATTACAGACGTATGCCACCATGCCTGGCACACATTCGTTTTTTTTAGCCACATACTGAGGATTCTTAGACTTTGTTCCACAGTGGAAGGCAGTAACAGAAATGGCTCAAAAAGACCTTAGTCCTTGGTTAAGTCTAGCTACGCCAAACAGAGACAAGAATACTCTTACTGTATCCCACAGTCTTCCTCTCTGCCAATCAGAATGTGAAGATGGGCTGTGAATCAGAAATCACCAGCAGACACACTGTGGAGGCAGCACACAAGCGAAGCACTGGCAGCTAGAGAAATGTGACTTCAAGTCCCAGCTCTGCAGTGTAATATACCTGGGCCAGTGGAGGCCCCCGCCCTCCCCAGTATTTTCTTCTGCCACTTGGAAATGGGGATGCTGCTGTGAGGACAGAATGGAAAATGATCGTAGACACTTGGAAAAAGGGTTTTCTGCTCTGCTAGTGTGGTAGGACATCACGACAGATTCAACACAATCGCAAATTTGGGGGGTTCAGCTCAGGGCAGGCACACGATCAGGTTACTGAAAATAAACGAATAAACAAATAGCTACACCCACACCCTGCCTGTTCCTTTCCACACGCTTTGCAAATGTTGAAGTGAGAATATGTAGATTGTTAATAAAAAACATTTATTAAAAAATTCACTTACAATATCATCTAGCTGCAGACAGACAGGATCCTCATCTCTCCCAAACCTGAGAACCAACACTTTCTCTGCGGTACTTTTTATTGCTTGATCTACTTCTTTCTTGCTAGTCAGTTTGGGCAACAGGAAGCTCATCTTCAGATAATCCAAACGTTAATCCCCACGGTCTATCCTGGAACACAGCTGCAACATTTGAAGATAGTTTAGATTAAGTGAACGAGTCCTAATTTAAAAATACTTAAAATTCTGAGTAAGTAATGTATTCATGCGGTTTAAGAAGAACTACTACAGAAGGTTATACCATACAAGGTCTCCATCCCATGTTCTCCTCTTCAGGCCCAGTTCCCACTCTCCCACGCTCCCCACATATCAGGTGACTGCTTTCATTAATTTTCTCATGTATCTTCCAGAGTTTTCATAGTCACAAGAAAATACAAATGTGTCTGCATTTTTCTTTCATTTTTAACCAAGAAACGGCCATTGTACTAGTCAATGGTCCATCAGGGAAGAAATGACACACTCAAATTTTGGTAATTCGAAAAATTTAATTAGGGCAAGGTGCCAGAAAACAAGGTGCACTGTGCCCATCCCCGGGTAGCAGCCAGAACTGTGTGGTAAGAGAGCTGAGTGGAGGCTGCCATGCAGGAGGGCATCTTGCAGCTAAGGGATGCAGCTATTCCTCTCTTCCTCTGACTTTGGCCAATGCTCCCCCTGCTGACTCTAAGTGAAACCAGAGGGCGAGCCTCCAGTCCCAGAGCAGTTGACGTGGGGAAGAGTGGCTCTGCAGGAGGAATGGCAGAAGTTCAGTACACACACTTTATCCATTTTCTGCACTTTGTATTTTTTTACCCAGTACATGAAGATCTACCCATGTCTCTATACACAAAACTTTCAGATTTTTGTCACAGCAGCATACCATCTCATGTATTACCATGCTTTTAAAAAGTCCTTTATTGATAGACATTTGTATATCATACATCCTGGGTTAGAGATTCTTGGTGTACACCTTAGTAGGTGCACCTTATCATGTAGCAAACAGTTCCAATTGCTAGTGTGTATGACATCCTGGAAGGCTGAAGCAAGAGATCAGGCTGGGCAACTTAGTGACTGAGCAAGACCTTGGGCCAAAATAAAAAAAGAGCTGGCATGTGGCTCAGTGTGAAGGCCCTGGATCCAGTCCTCAGTACTATAAGAAAACTGTGTGAAAACCAAACCAACCCCCTTTCTTTTTTCCTTTTGGTGCTGAACCCTCACTTTATAAGCTAGATGGCTTGTAGTTAAAATTTCTAGCTTCAAGACAAGGACTACAGGCTGGGAATTTAGCTCAGTGGTTCAGTGGCCTGCCTCGCAAGTGCAAGGACCCGAGATCGATCCCAGGCACCAAAAAAAAAAAAAAAAAA